ACTGCATTTTCCGGCGTTTCGTCAACCAGATGGTTTTTTTATCGCAAGTCACCAGAGTAGGTTTGCCAGAAGATGTGCCATGTGTTCGTCCCCTGGAATAGCCTTTAGGGTTCGTTCTCTTCATACTCTCCATTTGCCGAGAGATAGGCGTGCTTCCGGTGAAATGCCTCAGTCAGAATCTTTCCGCCAGGACTACTCCTCAGCTACTAATCCTGAGCATTATTCATGTCGATGGGAGACAAGGTTTGAGTTCAGCAACGTCAGCTTAGTGCGACTCCTCGAAGAGGGTGCCTCAACCACTTCGTAGTATCTGTCCTCTTAATCCTAAGCTGTAACCCACCTTTGGTCCTCAACATTCAGATCTTTACGGTCCTCAAGAGGGTCGAATTTGCGCTCAGAGTCAGGATGCCGTTCGCCAATTTTGCCCTAGCTACCGAAACAAACTTCTTCAGAAAGGTGAAAATTGGTCATCTAAACCACCTCGGAAGCCTTTTCTAACATCAAACGGACACAGAACCTCATCTTACACGCCTGGGAGTCAAGTAACAGAAACAGCAACGAGTGGAGGGACCTTTCGCTCAAGCCATTTGCCAGCGCCTCTCTCGCTCTCTGACGCCCATTAATTTAATGAACGGCAGGGGGTGGCATGAGCTCGGCTTCAGTGCCTTGTGCCTAGTCCGGGGGGGGGGGGCAGGAGGCCGATAAAAGGAGGGGGGACAGCGTTCACATGAGCTCGAGCGGAGAAGGAGCAGGCAGAATGGCAGGGGGTCAGGTGAGGCGGGGAGGAGGGGACACACAGCCAGGCGGATCGGTCAACGCGGTTTCAAATGCTAACATCATTACCTATTATCACCTCTTGCCGAGGAGTGGTAATTACAGACCGGCTGGCAGCACACACACACAACGCAGGCGATCTGCATGCAGCTACGAGAGCTGTGCACAAGCAAGTGAGCCTACCTCTTGGCAAATATATCGCTGGATATGCTGGCATCCGACGCAATGCGTACGCGTGCACACTCACTAATTAACTACCTTTGAGGGGGAGGGAGAACGATAAATCGGCAAATAAACTATCGATAATGTCGTAAAACAGGTTTTTTTGACATTCCGGTGACACGCTTGTCCTTGGAGGTCTGCAAAGCAAAGAGTGGCAAGAAAGATAGGAAAAAGGCGAAAGGTGTTTTTTCCGGGCTCGCTCTAACTCAATAAATGCGCTTGCATACAACAGACGACGGTTTGTTTTCGTTTTCGAACATAGGGGGAGTCACCTATTCGGCATAGACCCTGAAAGTAGGAACACTAGCACGTCATTTGGTAAATATATTCACAAACTAGGTTGCATTATCGCTTATAGTAAAAAATAATACAAAAATTCAACAGCGTTCGTTTCCAAGAGACAAACTAGGCCAGTTCTGCGTCGGAATTCATTTGCTTGAGCGTTTTAACCAGCAAGGTAGAATCTACAACAGCCCCTGCATCTAAAAGGCTCTTTAACCTGTAAGTTCAGATGTTTGCGTCTCAACCACTGACAGTTTAGGTAAGAACTCTCTATAGGAGAATCATCCCTTTAAACTACATGATCGAAAGAACAGTTTCTTCTCTTGCTGACGGAGGCTGTCTGCAGTACGCGTCTTCGCGGTGAAACCCCATCGTGTTACAAATTAGAGTTTTGTTCATCTCGATGTTTTCCTTATAAGAATATATTCTTATAAGGCTAGTCATGTGAGCCGTTTGATCTTTTTCTCTTTTTTGTCTTCGTTCGCCCTCTCAGGACGTGATACAAAATTACTTATGCATCTGCCCATTCGCAGCAATACACATTAAAGCATTTTAAACTGCCTAATCAGCTCGAAGTCCCGACCATTTTGTTGGGCCGTGCAGGACTTTACAAGGCCAGCAACCGTGACCATAGCCATCCACAAGACGTCACGGGATTTCTTTGTCTACTCCGTGGATATCTTGTTCGGAGGGCTGTTGACTCATACCCCAGTATAGATCCCAGTGCACCTTCTGTTGGATTAATCCGAGCTATGATGTGTGGAATGTAACGAGAAGAGGTTGGTCGTTCTCAGGTGTGCAGCTGCGCCCACTGTGCCGGTTAAGAGACGATGATTTGAATCGCACAAGAGATTGTTTTGGCTTATGACCTGTCTGTATGTGTCTCATTTTAATAGCTGTAAGGAGATTTCAGCACATACCTCCTGGACTCATAGAGGGGTCCAGTAACGTCCTTCGAGTCGACAACGCATCCCCATCAGCTGGGTTCGTTCTTACCATGCGCATTACCTGTTTGGAAGTAATAATTTTATTGGTTAATAGTTGAGCTGCCTGTATGCAACGAGAAAATCGGACATATTTAGGCCCGAGATTCGGCAACACATGCTATAAGACACAATCTTTCCGAGAGAAGGCCGGCCATATGAAGAGGCCACGACGTTGGCGAAGTTGAAAATAAGGGGTCGATGACAGTCCAACCGACAGTTCAACCGTTGTTGCCAACGATGTTCACCATGGGATCCACAGCAGGGTGAAAGCAGGCGCATCGACTTATGCATGAATTAGTTTATAGTGGCAGTAGACTTGCGCAGCGGCTATCGCACTCTCTCCTCCCCACCCTGGGCCCGGTGTCATGACCAAGCCAAGGAGACTGGAGGTGGGAGAGGGTGCAGGTGGCTGGTAGGGTGAAAACCCGCACCTGGGCGTGTCAGCACACCCACAACGGACACCGACCAGGATTTTATACCACAACACAAATAGGGGGCAACAGAGACCCAAATGGGCGTGGGATAAAGCGGCAACTGGGCATGTCACCGCATTCTGATGTTGGTATTTGGTATGAGTGCGCATTCCCGCTAACGCACGCCGGAATCGGACCTAGCCCCCTTTGTTTATCTAGCACATCCACTGCGTGGCCCGTTTTCGGGCAGCAAGCAGTCCAACCACCACATACAGAAAGGCCAACTATGTAGTCACGACTGACAATCGATTCGTTTAGTGCAGCTTAATCCACGGTTCTCCCTGCATCATGGCCACCCAAATAAGCTCTTTGTGGGTCATTATATAAGTGGAGTCAAGAAAGAGGATGCAAGGGAGCTAATGAAGTATGAAAGTTTGTGGAGAATGACCCAAACCGACCCCAAGAACAAGCGGAAATGTGCAGTCCTTCGAATCGCCCAGCTCTAACAGTTCAACCACATTGCCAAAGTTGACAGTTCTCCGATATAATAATGATTCTTTGCAGGGCAGAGGGGTAGTGTCGTACAGAGTTCAGCGGATGCCGCATTGTTACGAGGAGGATTATGATGAACAGTGCTGTTGTCTGTCCCTCCGCCCGCCCGCTTCCTTGTGAGGACTTGGCAACCTACGAATGAGCGATTGTGAAGGTTTTCTGTAATTTTTTATTGGAACCTGTTCCACCCCTGCTTGCCGGCATATGTACATCACTTTGGAGAATGGGCGTCAGGAATGAACCAAGAAAGCACAACAGATGTCTGTCAGTCTCATTGAAGGTACGCAGGCATTGGGCGATAAATAGGAAAGGTAAGTTGGATTGTGTAAAAATTTCCCGTGCTTTGTTACCAAAAGTGTATTGACCTAAAACCCATCTACTTTTCAGCGGCAAAACAGCTGCTCTCAGTGTCACTTGTTTGCTATCATGAAAAAGGCATCTAAACTTAATGGCGTTTGCTTTGAAACAATCACGCGTTTGGTTCGTTTTGTTACCTTTCAGTTCTGCTTAGGTACTGTCCGAATGAACTGTTCCAAGCCAACCGGAACAAGCGATAACTAAACAGTTCTTTTTAATATTTACCACAAAAAAAACTTTCAGTCTGAACCCAACCCTCTTTAGTCATGGTAGGATGAAGTCAATAGTCCCAATGCAACTATATGGCTTGGAGGTTTCCATACCCGTCTCGATTTCCTTTCTCATTTAAACAGACTGATTTTTCATTCTATATTTTAACCTGCACTGCGCGATTAAATTCCATTAAGCCAGCATAATTTTCTCGCAGGGAAAATCCAGTTGAAAAATCGACGTAAATGCTTGGGTGCGATCCCGAGATTTGTGGTCCTGTCTCGCAATATACCCTTATTGAATGGTCCGCATTTGCAAAACACTTTCCCTCTTTTGACGAACAGACAGAAAATTCATACGTAGTATCTTTGCGCGGAGTTCTATTCTGAAACTCCGAGTGGAATCTGCTTTGCGAAATTTGAACCTATCTCATCGCCTCTAGAGCTACTGGAGCTGTTAATTAGTCACATCTAACCCCAACTGAAAGGTGATCGACCCAGAAAACTTCCATGTTAGCTCCGTATTTTCCTTCAACCCTTCTGACAATAGAAAGGTAAGCAGATCTTCAAAGCTGACCTAGTACTCATTAGACTGTTTCCCTCGGTGGTTTCGTGGGCTTTCAGCATTCGAGCTCCCATTTCCGCCCCGTCAATTAGTTCCTCTCTCTGGGTGCCCCGTTTGACTACGTTGATCGGCTGGTGCTGCGAACGTTGGTTTTCTGGTCAAAAACTGGACTCACTAAAAAGATTCTCTCTGTACGTTTTGCAACTTGTCAACGGCTGCTCTTGTGCAGACTGCTCCCTTCAATTTTCCCTCCCGACTTCTTCGTAGATATGTGCGTGCTGTCAAAATATTGTTTTCTTGACACGTGACTGGCTCAATTGCTGATGCTGGCACTAATAATGGTAATGAGAAACCCTACCGGTATCAGTAGGTGTGCTCATGTGCGTAGCTATTTGCCAACTGGGTACCACGAGAGCACTAGCGGCGCATGTGCGCGCAGCTTGCGACCAATCAGGAGATAGAAAGGGTAGCCCCTAATCAAAACGGGCAAGAGGCCGGTGTTCTCGAGACAGCTGACATTATGAGCGCCACAGGCAACGGAGCTAGCACTAGCAGCATCAACGGCAGCAGCGATCAGTAACTCAAACTCCCCAAAACAGGACAGAAAATGTGGTCGCATCAAAGTGTTCACAAGTCAGATATGGTGAACAGCAGACTTTTGCAGTCCCCTCTGACAACCGAGCGCAGTGGGGCCCTTACCTGTGTCCACAAAGTTGGCTGCGAAAATTTGCAGCCACCGGAGAACAGGCAAATGGAGCTGAAGTTACCGCTTACTTACGGATCCTGCTACTTTCCGACCATTCCAGCTCCACAGGAACTCCTGAGCTCCACGTGGTCTCTGGCACGGCCTGCAGGTACGTTTATATCCGATAACGATCTGGGATTTCTGAACTTGATTAATGTAGCCTTGAGCATCTATATGCATGCAGGAACATTCCTTACTCATGTTTCGAAAGTTTTTAAAGTTTAGAAGACAAAAACAGTTTGATAGCAGGCATTGAAAGACCACCGGATGTCGTTCTTAAGGTCACTATTTTCCCACGTTAACGCTGTACAAATTGTACGCGCACTCGGACAGCTGTCATAAATTAGGCCTTTCGTTTCGACAAAGTCATAGTTTTCCTGTCTTCCAAAGATGCACTTCAAAGCTATCTGGCCTGGTGCCCGTTTCTCTTAATTTTTTGCCAGTTGCTGAGAGAAAACCACAAACTTGACTTTACGTGGTAGTTCAGTACGTGTTTACAATTTACAGAAAGTGTATACCAACCTACATAGCATAGTTACACCTACCGCGGTGGCAAATCTAATCCCTAATTGAGCCTTTAGCTGCACTCCAGGATAAGTAAAGGCTGTTTACACACAGTCCCGGGACTTTTTTTCTGCACGAGTAGGGCTCTATCCCTTTGCGAGACATTTGTTGCCTATATGTAAAAATAAACTTTTGAGAACACCAATGGAAAAGGAATGTTTGAAACTAAAAAGGATACCTGCTGGCCTTGGGTTTACTTGGGTTTGTTTTGACAACAACTGCAGTTTCGAGTCATTAGTTGTCCAAAAATCTGAACTCTGAGTAACGAAATACGTAATCAGACAATAAAAATGTTTCATGTCTAAACGACTCTACACCTAAATCTATTGCTGACTACTTACTTATGACTATCACAAACTGTCTGAAAAAGTATACTGACTTATGCGGACCGCGTGCTGCCCGAAATTGTGGCGAATAAATTGATTTATATTTGCTCAGATACAGGACAGAACTTTTGCAATTTTGGTTGCTACTTCGAAAATCCAACTGTAGGTGTATGCTAACCTGACCAAGTAGTTTACTAACAAAGGAAACTAAACAAAGACTTGTAGATATTCCCGTTAAGAGCCCGGACTCAGGGATACATTCTTAGTTGCAACGTAGCTGGGTACCTCTAATTCTGTGTTTTGATGATGACAATACAGGAAAGTGTCCCGTAGATAAACGCAGATATGCGTCACTGACTCCCTTCAGTGAATAGATGGGAAACATTCCAGTTCATTTAACGTAACAAGAAGCGATCCCCACGGCACCCTCTTCCCCAAAAAGTTGGCAAGGATGTAGAAAAAAAGATTACACCGAATGTGCAGTCTTACTGTTTCTAAATCCCATACCTTAGGGAAATATTATAGCCCACGCAAGAACCCCTGTCTAATTTTATTCCCACAGGCAATACAAAAACCAAGTATACAGGAACGCTTAATTTGAGCACGCTGGCATCGCTCTCCCTCTTCGTGTTGCCCGATAGTCCGTAAACAAGTCTGACCACCGGCATCGGTCGTTCAGCTGCTACGGCCAGATGATGGTTATGTCGCAGAACACGGAGATTTGAAACAAGACACAAGCATATCATTATAATGATGCGAATTAGTTAAAAGGAACTTTAATAAACTTTCCTTTTCAAGGGCAACACAGGTCTGGAGATTTTTAACCTCTATGCAGATTATTCTATTTCACTGAGTACAGTTAGCGGTTAAATTAAGTCCCCAAGGACGGAACAGGCCAGTGGATACAAATAAGCCACTAAACATAAGAAATATGTACTATTTTAATCTTACGCTCTCCCTAGATACGTTTTTCGCAACCACGTGCGACGCCGAAGAAATAACTGCATATTGTTAAATCTATAGAAGACTCCATGAATAAATATCTTGGCCATCATAAGGCTTGGGACTAAATGGCTAAATTCGACGTATATTTGCCTGCACTTTCCGAACTTTGTTAGTTGTTTTGCAAAGTAAGATCCACTTACAACGCACTCGGCGGACCTTTGAGCAATGGCGAAACCAGAACTTCTTCTGGTCTAAACACCCGCCTCCCTACTTTGTCAAAAAAATCCGACACACCCGATTTTTTTCTGTTAAAGTCGCTGTCCTTTTCGCTCTGTCAGATGTGTGCGACTTAGAGAAGCAACCTAGACACTCATGCGTTCACGATGTTTCTTTCATATGCCCTGAAAACCTTTAACTCGATTCGTCGCGGTTTAGATGTTATCAACAGAAGAAGTTAATGCAGACTTTTTCCTAGTTAGTTTAACCTCGTCTTTTAAACCGGAGGGAATCACGTGCATTTGTTTTGATTTTGAGGATGCGGTGCAATTTCAGGAGAAATATATGTCAGTTACGTTATTGGCACAGTTTTTTGCTTTGCCATGAAGTAATATGCGAAAAATAAGGTAATCTTTAATTTTACTTCAGCTTTCCATGAAACACCAAGATCTTTAGTTAATGCAGTCTAAATCCGTGCTCACGGGGAACCCAAAGTCTGTCGTGTAAACCCAGCGCTATTCCACCGATTAGCACGTCCCATAAAAGGCCAGACGACGTTCTACGCCTAGAGGTTGCCACGATACGGAATGCAGTCTATTCAGCTAAACCAGAGCGTGCGTTTCCGTGCCTTCACCAACTTCCACGAAATGAGAGCTTCTGGCTAATTACGCAAAAGACTCCAATTTTTATACGAGATATTCTTTGCCACGTATGTGGAATATGTATAACAAAGGGACAGCACACAGGGACAACAAAAAACAACTGCCATGTGCTGCCAAAAAGACGATAAAAGGCATGTGCATGTTAAGAGACTCAGCTAGGCAAATATGTTTAAGGAACAAACCCATAGTAGTTGATTTATGCAGGATTGAAACTTGCTGTTTGAATCAGCACGCCAAATGAGGACAGTCAATGAACAGTGACCCAAGACGTGGGCCAGAGAGACTAAGTACAGGGTTGCACAATGCCACAACCAAAGGACCTGTTTGCAAGACCAAGAGTTCAAAAATGCGTGATAACCAGTACACACTTTTCAGAGTGAAAAGTGCAGCAAAAATAATGGCTGGTGTTTAGGAAATAAATGGGGAAGAGTCACCAACAATGAAAAAGACAGACACCGTTTTGCTGTTTAAGAAGTGCAAATACACAGAGTCGCACTAAAAAGGCTATATTATTTTGGGATAGTAAACTGAGCGCACACAAGTGGCGTCAAATAAAGAATAACATGCGCGAAGAAAGCTATTTGGTCAGGTCCTGATTTTTCTATCAATTCTAGAAGTTCGACGGTATGTGATCTAGAGAGCAGACCGCTGGGACAATTTTATTAGCTAATTGATGACTCAGTCCGGTTGATCCACTATTCAGCGTCAGAGCCTGCGTTATGCAAAAGTCGAACTGAACTTCACACGCATTTTCGAGTCAACGAATTCAGCTTTCATCGATATTTCTGTCGTTCTTTCTGCCTCGTCCGTATTTGGCCAACCTGTTGGTGTTGCAGCTTCCGCGACGACTTGTCCGCATGGGGAGCAAGCGCATGAGTGGGAAAGTTTTGGAAACCGTGTGATGGTTGTTCCACCGAACGCAATACCCATCATACATTTTCTTGTTCGGATTAAGTCACCTGAAGTGCGTCAGTCTATGTCATCGCGGCGATAATGACATAAAAACTTATAAGCAGGAGCGAGTTGCCTTGCCGGTCTGTCAAAATCGTGCCAACAAACGTCGTCCCTTGTCCGAGTGGCTCAGATGTTCACTCGGAGTTTAAAATATCTTCATTCCGACCAAATGCTATGCCTGTGTGACTAGTAAAAGTCGAGAAAAGAAGGTATTTGTAAGAATTATGTATTTTGAACTCTGATCTCCGACTGCTTAGCTCAGGATTATCCGTAAGATATGGTTTGGTAGCCCCACCTGACGGATACAATACTGTTGGGGTTGCGGTTAAGGGTTATGGTTAGAGTTAGAGCAACTATTTCTAAACCATTCAACGTACAACCGCGCATTCCCAATAGATTTTATTTTGCAGACTACTGCTTGACGTCGTTGCCTGTGCGTCCCCCGGCCCAACCCGTAAAAACCCCTATTACCACTGATTCCGTATTAGAAGTTACTGGGTTTTGTTTAACTCAGGTGGGGTTACATAATTCCATCCGACCGGATTATCTTATAGAATGGCAATGTGTGGGGTAAAAATTATATGGACTCTTAGTATCACAAAAGTATAGTAGGTTGTCACGTAGCTTTATTTGGAAAAATAGGGATGTTCCCAGAGGATGGTGTAATCACATACACATGTTAGTCTGCCCTTCCCCTTGAAGCATTCTCATGAATACTTTTATCTGAGTACGCACAGCGAGCACACTTTCCATAGATCCTGTCTCAGCCAAAAAATATGCGTCACTGAGAGATGTCGTCGGAAAACGGCGAGAAACTGGAGCAGCTATTTTGGGCTTCTTTGCTGTCGAAGGTGAGTCATACATGTGACCGTGACCTCGAACACCTCCGGTTAGTCGACATACATATCCCTCGACTATATGTTCTACCTAAGATCCATAAGGAAGGCCTGCCAGTTCATCAGATTTTAGACATGCGAAACTCTCCGTATCATGCGATAGCGAAGTGCTTAACAGAGAAACTGAAGCCCGTACAGCATCAGCTAGCATCACGAAGCTATCAAGATACATTTGAATTCACTGACGCCATGGAAGACCTAAACCTTAGCGGCCTGGAGATGTTCTCGCTAAACGTTGCATCGCTTTTTACAAATGTCCCGGTAACCGAGACAGTTGAATACATCTGTGGTTTTCTATCAACCAGTCAGCAGGAAATAGGAATTCTGACGGCCACAATAAAAAAATTATTACTAAGATACAAATTAAATTTACAGATCCATTTTGACAACCAACTCTATAGACAAACAGACGGCGTTGCTACAGACTCGCCTTTTGTACATCTCTCAGCCAATTTCTTCATGGACAAGCTGGAGAGATTTCAACTAAGCGATCGGATCGATAAGCTTAAACATTACGGTCGCTAAGTTGGTGACATTTTTGCAATTGCCACCGCAGAAACCGACATGGCTACTCTCTTAAATGCTGTATATCAGGCACATCCGTTGACCAAATTCACGTTGGAGATAGAATCGGCTGGTTCGCTCTCTTTTTTGGACATTCTTCTAAACAGGAGACGGTAGCGTCCGAAGGAGCGTCTATCGGAAGAAAACCTGGTCTGAACAATACATGAACTTCGCCGGTTTCGTACCCCTCCAAACAAAACGAACTATAGTTTGGTGTTTGGCACAAAGGGTTAAAAAAGTTGTCCAACAGATAGCATCGAGGGAGTGCTTAGAAAAATCCAGGATTTCCTTCACGAACACAGGTATCCTGACAGGTTTATTGCAAAGAACAATGCTGAGGGACGAGCAAGGCCCACCAAACTGACTTCCGAAAAGAAAACTTTGTTTCTCAAAGTTCCTTTTCATGGAGACGCTGCGAGTGATCTCCTAAGTAGACGCCTTGATCAAGCTGCCTCGCGAACCTTCCCAGCTGCAAGGGTTCAAGTATAATTCTTCACTAACCCTGTTTTACGCGGAGAATGTAAGGATAAGTTACCACTACAGACCAGCTCAATGTGCATCTATTCCCTCACTTGCACCTGCGGAACAGGTTATACTGGTCGTACGTGTCGGCGTCTATCCGAAAGAATACTATAATACCTCCTCGCAGGACTGGCAAAAGGCGAAACTAGGAGCATAAGCAGCGTTATTATTGTGTATGCAGTTGATTCAGGACATCGCGTGGACCCCGGCGAAGCTTTTCGTCTGATTTATAAGGTCCCCTCGAACTATCCTAGGCTACTGAGACAGCGCCTGCTCGCAACAGCAGAAGCGGCCGCCATCAGGTTACGAAAACCGACCCTGTGCGCCCAGGAGAACCTCGTTCGTGCTCCGTGCTTACCGAGGTCAAAGGTTGACTAACCACATACAACTTTCTGAGCCATTCCGCTCTCGCCCCGCCTGTGTTGTTAAATTAACTTTTATCTATTTTTTAGTCACTGCCATGTTTGACTGTACCCCGTTCCCATATAACTGTACTGGCCTGAGGAGTATTTATCGAAAGATACGTATAATCCAGAATTCCCACAGGTGTTTGAGGTCACTATCACAGGCGCTTTTCTTCTAATTGTATGTGCATACTGCCACACCTTATGCATATTAAAACCACCTGTGTACAGGCTATATTACACGTTTTACGATCGCGTGGGAACGACATCCACTAATCTATGTGGGTTGTGGGGTGAAATAAGAACAATTTCACACTTTTGAGTTCCACTCTGGCGGTCATATAGCGGAAGTAATCAAGAGTCGATAAGTTTGACTGATGCAGGTAGGAACATAGTCAATGACCTTTCTAGCTTATTTGAGGTAATCACCTAGCAATGCACAAACACCGATTTCTCAGCTTATACGTTATTTCTGACCTTCAATGCGTGTAAATTTTAGTTCACTGACAGGGCCAGTTTACGAATTGATTTCTGCCACATTTTGCAGAATACCTGCACCTTCTACAGTCCCTCATGGCAGCTTGGCGTGCATTTGTCTTCCAAGCTGACGTCGGATTTCAGAATGTGCAACCACGGACCCCCTTCCATGGAGTAAAACAAATACTCTCTATGGCAGAGCCTGACTATCAATCGTGCGATGTATCCCCTCGGAGCTCCGCACCCACCCTCACCACGGAAAAAGATGTGGGCTATCGGAGGGCACCTCGACATTCTTCAGGCTCCGAGCTCTCACCAGCCGACAGCCTGCCTTCTTCCCTAGCGTCCTCCCCACCCGCCGTCGAAGTCACAAGGACCTCCCCAACCGTCCCTTCCGCTGCCAAGCGTTACAGAAAAGCTCGTGTTTACTTTCAGCCAAAGGATCTTTCAATCCTCGAAAACTTTTATAAAAAGAAAAACTACCTTTCATCGCGCGAAAGGGAGATTCTCGCTCAGCAGTTGGGTATAACGGAGGACAGGGTATGATTTCATGACTACTTGTCATATAAATGCCCTGAAGCAAAACTATCAAAAGACTCAAATATTGCATATCTGCAAGAAGGCTGCCATCATGTATATAGGCAAAATGGTATTACCGATAAAGACAAGGGAGACTGGAATGGCCATTTTTGGCTTATTAGCCGTCGTCAGCCAGCCATACCCAAGCCCGAAGTGTGGAACACCTGAGCCTCGAACTCGCGACCTGTTGGTTTAGAAGTCCACGCCTCCACCAACCGGGCCACGAGCCCGTTGCCCTGTCGGTTTTCCCTTAAGGCACAACGGAACGAGTGAGTTCCGTATGAACGATCGGTGAGCGCCCCCTACCATGGTATATTCTCGATCGAAAACCGGCAGGGCAACGGGCTCGTGGACCGCTGGGTAGAGGCGTGGACTTCTAAACCAACAGGTCGCGAGTTCGAGGCTCGGGTGTTCCACACTTCGGGCTTGGGTATGGCTGGCTGACGACGGCTAATAAGCCAGAAATGGCCATTCCAGTCTCCCTTGTCTTTGTCGGTAATAGCATTCTGCCTATATATCATGCGCCGCTGTGCGACTGCTGGTTGGGCTCGAGAGAGAGCCCTTAAGGCACAACGGAACGAGTGAGTTCTGTATGAACGATCGGTGAGCGCCCCCTACCGCTATATAATATATATATATATATATGTACTGGAAGATGGGCATCCCATCGAAATATATATATATTGGTGGTAGGGGGCGCTCACCGATCATTCATACGGAACTCACTCGTTCCGTTGTGCCGTATGGACTCTATCTCGAGCCCAACCAGCAACCGCACAGCGGCGCATGCTATATAGGCAGAATGCTATTACCGACAAAGGGCAACGGGCCCGTGGACCGGTGGGTAGAGGCGTGGACTTCTAAACCAACAGGTCGCGAGTTCGAGGCTCGGGTGTTCCACACTTCGGGCTTGGGTATGGCTGGCTGACGACGGCTAATAAGCCAGAAATGGCCATTCCAGTCTCCCTTGTCTTTGTCGGTAATGCCATTCTGCCCATATATATATATATATCAAGCAAATAATTTCAGAAATTATTCGGTGCAGAATATGGATTTAAGTCCCGGGACATGACTCTTTGGGGTCAGATCCGAAGTTTCAATGAACATTTGAGACGAAGACAATCATCTACTGTGGAATAACCACATAATGGACATTCTACAAACAAGTAGCACTCGAGACCCGAACCAACGACTTGCTGACTAGAAGTCGAACGCCCTAAATATGGAGTCTCGGGTTCGCTGTCTTGTTAGTTGGGATCGGGTATATTAACAATGGTAGAGATGACGCGCACTGATCGCGTTATGGAAATCACTCGTCTGAATATGCTTCTGTGCCATAAACTGATGTGTGAATTGATCCATTAATCGTTCGACGTACAAGAACATCCAGAAATGAGAGTTGTCTATCAATCTTCGCCTCGAATGTAAACATTTTTCCTGGAAATATAGAGTTCAGATTCGTGTGGAGCAGATTTAACTGATTTGGCATCAGCATTTTCATCTTAGTAAACACAATTTACTGGAAGTTAGATTCCAAGGCTTTCGAGACTGGTGGATTATTGGCAAGCATGTAAAAGTGTATTAAATTGTTTTTCTCTAATATCTTCCTAAGTCAAAGGTCATAAAGAAATTGACGTAAGTGACCAGAAAAATAACCCAATGTGCATTCAATGGAGGGCTAGCTTGCCTATGGTTTAGAAGCAAATTTCCTTCTATCCGGACAACTCATAAAAACCACGCTTCTGTAATCAGGGTTTTTACCCTCAACGTCCACATCATTGTTAGTCCTAAAAATGTTCTAAACATTTACATAAAGCACGGGCCAGAACTAATGAAAAACTAATCTAGAACTTTGAATGCGTCAATGAATCGAACTGGGGTTGTAATAAGGATAACTGGGGAACGATTGTTATAGCTAAATATAACCAGAGATGATCGTTTTCTCCTTAATATTTTATCGTCACCTCCACCAAAGCTTTTCAGAAAAATCATTTACTCAGACAATAGCGTTGTCTTCTTCTGCTATTCGATGTTTCAAAAAGGAGGTGGCAAATAACCTGCCTTTATAGCTATCTCATGGCAAAGTAAGATAGAGTGAGAAATGTGAAATATTCCATCCATAAAACAACGAACGCTAGAGTGTGACGTGGTATGCGCATATTCTGTTAAATTGTGGTGGTGGAAGTGCGTCCACTGACCAGCCTACGGAACGTGCTCGTCCCACTGAGACTTGGAGTTCAATCTAGTGACTTTACAGGCAGCCAAAAAACAACCATTATGCACCAGGAAGAGTGCCAAAGATGTCAAAGAAGGCTGGGATGACCATTTTTACCTTATCTGATGTCGTCAGTCAGCCTTACCCAACCCCAAATTTCCAGGACGTAGGACTTGAACCCGTATTTTTAAGTCACTGAGTATTATTAACTCCAACGCTTTATCACTGAGCTACGGGCCCATCGTCCTCTGGGCTGCAATCAGCTGCACTAGTATTGGGACTCCTCCCTGTGCCTAATAAACTGTCACTATAAGGTTGCCTGTGAAGGCTCTGGGCTGATCCATAAGGAGCAACGAGACGGACATCTCCCGTAACCTGATCGGTGAACGCATTTCCAGCATGACGAATATTCCAGATAGCAGCCGACAGGGTAACAGGTTCGTGGATCAGCTATAGAGCGTTAAATTTCATAAAACTATATAATCAAAGAATCCGGCTTCAAATTCCGGATCCTACAAATCCGACTTTTGGTGAGGCTGACCGAAGACAACGGATAAGGTAGAAACGGCCGTTCGAGTCTCCCATGTGTTTGCTGGTACACTGCCTTGTGAGCAGTGATATTGTTTGCAAATCCTATCAGTTATCATCTGTGTGTCGGCCTGTGCCTTCATACCACCATGGAAATAACTTTGAAAAAAACTAAAAGAAATATACTGATCGAGTAGCTTATAGTACTGAAGAAACTGTAAAAAGGCGAGTTTTGTGTGGCGTCGTTTAGGGCTTTCAGTCATCTGACTGAAATAAAATATTCCGAAAACTCAACAGTCCGCGTAATTGTTTTACGCACCATAGCCTCAGTGCCTCTTCGAAAACAACAGGGCAATTGGAGTAAACATCAAAACTACGGAAAAACCAGTTCCACCGAAGTATTCTTATTGTCAGGAAATGCACACTGTTGGTTGGACTAGCCGCAACGGCAAGCATACATTAGGATTTTGGAAGCATTTTCGGACAAGTTTGTCCACCCCAGTGTATTTAAAAGTCATTTGGGTAGCATTCTGTGTAATTTCGAGTTCGACGATCTCGATTCACGTTTTGTGAGCTTTAGTGACTAGTCCGCTACAAAAAGTCAGAGCATAAAAGCACGATTATCGGAAAGAATCAGACTACTATTTGGATAAAAAGACTCAAGTGTGTGTAAGTAAAATAAAGTTGAAATTTTGCTTCGTGCAGTCAAACGGCTGACGAAATCCGCTGACTTATTATAGGAGTACAGGTAACAGTAGATAAATGATGTGCCATTTACGTAGAGGAAGTAAAGTTAATGTGTACACTAATGTCATAGCCGCAGACTCGACTTCGAATCCATAAACTTCATATACTTAGCTTTATGAAATAAACGACGTCTAAACCCTGGGAGTCCTCTCAAATGATATCAGGAGTTTCCTTGTTTTTCGGGGACTTGTAGCCGTAAAAATAACTCAGTTGAATAAGAGATCTCCGTACATTCCTTATTATTAATTCAAAGAAGCCTGAAGTATATCCCGGCATTTTTTGATTTTAGATTAAAACCTGGTTTCAGAATCGCCGAATGCGAGAGAAAAAGAAAGTAAATGACAAATCCTGCAGCCGTCAACGAGAATCCAATGGGGAGGAAACTGTCCACTAATCCCTTCTCAGCCATCAGTAATCCAACTGCCAAACTCGACGAAGCCTGTTTTCGTTTTTCTTTTGCTACTTTGTACAGCCTATTTTCTTTCATTTAGATGCGCATATTTTGAAATTATTTTGAGGATGAGAAAAAAAGTATTCAGTAAGACTAACTCTTCATTAAGACCCAACCTGGTATAGGTTAGAACGCTTGCACATGCACTAAGACAATCGTACTGGTTTTCCAAAAAGCCTACTGTATACAGCGTAAATTAAAAAAATAGCACAAATCTATTAAGCATTCCTACAACACCGACAGACAGGGTCTTCAGTAGGCCTTTGAATATAGCAAAAACTAGTGTGCGTTGGGCAGGGCAGAGGATTAAGCATATTGACAATGTGGTTCTTCTAAACCTGCATTTTTTGCGCTTCCTCAACCTATATATTGTTTGGAAGGACGGAACCTATGTTTAACTGATATTTTGCGAATACTGAGCATGCTTATGAGTGGTTCGATTAAACGATCGGGCGTGCTCCTTGTCTGGCAGAAAGTTGAAGAACCCTATTCTGATATAAGGGCAGTATTTGCCTTTGGATGGTTGTGATGGTGGTGGTGGTGGT